ATCTTTTATATAAAAAAAAAAAATTCTAAAGAATCCACTGAAGAGTTATTAGAACTAGTAAGTTCTGCAAGGATAAAGGATATTAACAATAACACCAGTATAAAAAAGTCAATTATATTTCTAAACCCTTGCAATGACAAATCCAGAAATGAAATTAAGGAAACAATTCCATTTGTAATAGCTTTAAAGGAACAAAATAAGAGCAAATTTAACAAAAGAAGTGCAAATCAAACATTGATGAAGGAAATTAAAAATCTAAATAAATGTGGTAAAGTTCATGGATTAGAGACTTCATATAACTCAATGATTATATTTCCAAACTGGTTTTTAGATTCAGCAGAATCTCTAAATGACTTCTTTGTAGAGATTTGCAAACTGATTTGTAAATTTATAAGGAAACTGAAGGGACACAGACTATGCAAACAATAGGAGCCTACCATAGTAACCTATCCCCAGATATTTCAAACAAGCTCATACAGTAGATATGTTCTTGGCACAACTGGAGCACTTTATTATCAGCCTACATTTTCCAGTTTGCTATTTTACCTTGTCTCCTAACTGCTGTCTTTTCATTCATATTTTTCTTTGGCATTCTGAACTTGAACTATGAGATTTCCCTGCTTCTATTTAGTAGGAGCTTATGGTACAGTATGAAAGTAGGGGGAGAAATCCAATAGAAGGACAATAACAATAGATAACATTATATGGCATCTTACGGCTATAAAGCACTTAATGGCCAGGTGAAATGCCTCATGCCTGTAATCCCAGCACTTTGGGAGGCTGAGGTAAGTGGATCACCTGAGGTCAGGAGTTTGAGACTAGGCTGGCCAACATGGTGAAACCCCATCTTTACTTAAAAATACAAAAATTAGCCTGGCATGGTGGCAGGTGCCTGTAATCCCAGTTACTCGGGAGGCTGAGGCAGAATCGCTTGAACCCGGGAGGCAGAGGTTGCAGTGAGCTGAGATCACCCTACTGCACTCCAGCCTGGGTGACAAGAGCGAAACTTGGTGTCAAATAAATAAATAAAGCACTTTAACATTTTAAATCTCATTTGAAAAACTGGATAAAACTGAATTTGAAATTGGAGATTTGTTTTGGGTCCCCACTCTGCCATGTCCAAACTCAGTACTCTATCAGAACTAAATCACAGGGTGCTTGAGGGCTAAGAAACTTTCATGCTGCAGACAAGAAGGAACTGTTATTACACAGCCTTTGACCCTCTAGGGACTCCAGCAACCCAGTACTAAAACCTAGTACTAAAAGGAGACTCCACCAGGTGCAGTGGCTCACGCCTGTAATCCCAGCACTTTGGGAGGCTGAAGTGGGCAGATCACCTGAGGTTGGGAGTTCGAGACCAGCCTGACCAACATGGAGAAATCCCGTCTCTACTAAAAATAAAAAAATAAAAAAATTAGCTGGACATAGTGGCATATGCCTGTAATTCCTGCTACTTGGGGCAGGAGAATCGCTTGAACACAGGAGGCAGAGGTTGTGGTGAGCCAAGATCATGCCATTGTTCTCCAGCCTGGGCAACAAGAGCAAAACTCCATCTCAAAAAAAAAAAGAAAGAAAGAAAACATAAAAGGAGACTCCTTGTCTCCTTCTCTGGGGACCCTTTTGTTTAGAAATAAAACTTTATCATGCTGCAGGTGCCTTGGAGAGGACATGTGGGTGACCTTTTGTAGAAAGCAGTGGAGTGAAAGTTTTGGGAAAAGTGACAGAAAGAGAAACAAATCTTGAATTTACTGGAGGCTCATTAAAAATCAACTAAGTAAACAAATATTTAATACCTCAACTGAAATATAAGCATAAACAAAGGTTGACTATGACTGTACCTGGGCAGGATGAGTAAGAAGGTAAAGTGGTCTGTTACCAGCTATTTCTGTATTTTGGTCCTGGCTCTGCCTGACACAGTTTTGTCTCCAGCAGTTAACAAATGCCCCTCTTTCTTTCAGCAAATATATATTAAGAGGCTGAACATGTGCCAGACTCTACAGAACAGGCTTACAGGCATAATGCCACAATGAAATAGAAATCTAATGGGCTCCAAGATCAGGCTTGTCAAATAAATGTGCCACAACTTATATATCGTATATACATCTGGCACACAGGCACCAGAACATGAGATTAAACATGTTAAAGGAATGTTTATCTAAATTTTTTTTTTAAAAAATGAAACAATAACCGGAAACCAAATGACACCAACAGAATATATAATTTAGTTGTGACATATTTGTGCTGTGGAAATGAACTACAGTGTCACACATCAACATGGATGAATCCAAAAATAATGAGCAAAAGTAGTCATACACAGTATAATTCTATTTATATAACGGCTATAAATAAGCAACTGTTGGGGATACATAGTAAAATCTATAAAAGCTAGGTGACAATTAAACAAAATTCAGGATAGTGGTTGCCTCTAGGGGTGGGAGAGGGAGATATGAATGGGGAGAACAGACGAGGCTCCTGGGATGTAGTAATGTTCCATTTCTCAGTCTGAGCAATGGGCACCTGGACATTTATTATTGTTCTTCTAAATAAATATTTTCATTTGTATATCCTATTTCACAATAAAAAGAAAAAAGACCCCAAAAAAAGCATTAAGTGTGACTAAAGATTTAAACAATGGTGCTTGGGAGTATTATCGTATCATGCAGACACAGTGCAAGGAAATGAAAAGGTGGATATAATTTGTGAGGTAGAGATGATGGGTTCAGGTGTGCACAAACTGAGCTCCTGAAACACAGACTTTTATTCTTAGTCACATTAGGTATGAAATTGCCCTCAGATCACCAGTTGCTTTTATGCTAGATATGCGTAATTTTATGTGTCCAGCTCTGAAAATCCTCATTGTAAACAATTACTAAAAGGTCATGTGTTCGGTTACTTTTCAGCCCCACTGAACTCAAAGGATTTGTCATTACCCTACTGATTTGCCCTTCTAAGTCTTCTGCCTGTTGCATTCTGGTGACCCATTTCTAAGCAAGATAGAGAATCTAAAGCTGAGACATAGTGATAGAAGGCCAGAGGACAGACACAGCAACAAAGTTTGCATGAGGCAAATCAGGAGGGTAGGAATGAGATTTTGATATGCATCCTGGCCAAATTCCAGAACTAGCAAAGAGAGGGCTAGTTCCCTAATTCCAATCAAAGCAAATTCAGCCCTCTTATTTTCAGACAGAAGTGGTCTACCTTGATTTTTTAAATCTCTTGAAGGGATTAATATAAAGGAAACTAAACTGATAGTAATATAAAATGAATAGTGACCTATCATACCAGCAAACACTGTCAAAACAGAAAGCTACTGGTGGGACCATCCAGAGTCTAGAACACAGGAGTTATGTTTATCCAGTGCCACACTGTACAACAGAGCAGTCACTTGCCACATGTGGCAACTTAAATTTAAATGAAATTGAATTAAGCATTCCATTCCACAGCTGCACTAGCCACATTTTAAATGCCTCAATACCCACATGTAGCAAGGATTACTGTACTGAAGAGCAGAGACATAGAACATTTCTATCATAACTCAAAGTTCTATTGAACAGTGGCTGACCTCACAATATCCAGGGTAAAGGGTGTTCTGCTAGTAAAGCAAGGTGGACATCAGAATTATCACAACTTAAGCATAATAGTCCTGATGACATCCATTTCCATTTATTTGCATCTCTGCTCACCAACTCTGGATCCCTGCTTTTCCAACTTTCTGGTATGTTGGAAGAAAATAACTGATTAGGAAACATATATTTCATTCTGCTTTACAAGTGTAATTCTCACTTAAGTTTATAAATTTCTGATTTATCAATGAATGCTGAAGGCCCGAGTTTCAGAAAGGCTATGTTTGATTACCCTTGGGTAGATCCAAACATTAGGAAGGTCTTGCTTAAGCGGGTGATAGAAAGTGACAAAAAGAGCTGGAAGGAACGTGAGAGACTATTACACTCCCTTCTCTGACCTTTCTCCTTTCCACCCTGCTCACCTGAGCCAGGTTAGAATCCGTCCTTTGTACAGCACCCTGTACCTTCTATTGCAACCTTTACTACATTACGTTTGTAGAGTGATCTATGCCGTTAGTTGAAAACTAGTCAAGGGCAGAGACTTCTCTTTATTCACCTTCAGTAACTAATACAACGCCTAGGAGGAAGCATGTAGTAGGCTCTCTAAGTTTCTCATACAAATAAATTGTATGGGGCAAGTTACATTTTTAGGGCCTGGTTAGTAGTTCTTTGATGAAGGTATGATATTAAAGACAATATACTAAACAATAGCAATCTCATCAAAATAACCCTTGGAGGGCTGGGGAGCAGGGAGAATAAAAGAAGCAGATTAGAACAATTCTTTATTCACCATCATTGCCCAATCCTAGTCTTCCCAAGCGGGAAAACTAACATTTATGAAACAACTAATATATACCTACACTTCACAAAAACAATAGTCCTTCCAAAATGCTAGCAAATATTACTATTGCCACTTTAAAGACGAGGACACTGAGGCTGGGCACGGCGGCTCACGCCTGTAATCCCAGCACTTTGGGAGGCCAAGATGGGTGGATCACCTGAGGTCAGGAGTTTGAGATCAGCTTGGCCAATATGGTAAAACCCCGTCTTTACTAAAAATACAAAAATTAGTCTGGCGTGGTGGCATGTGCCTGTAATCCCAGCTACTCGGGAGTCCTGAGACAGGAGAATCCATTGAAACTGGGAGGTGGAGGTTGCAGTGAGCTGAGATCACACCACTGCACTCCAGCCTGGGTGACAGAGTGAGACTCCATCTCAAAAAAAAAAAAAGGGCGGGGGGGGGGTGGCGCTGAACATTAGAAAGGATATGCAACTTGGAACAAATGCAAATCAACTAAAAATAGTTAAGCTAATTTTCAAATCCAGAACTATCTTATATATCTGATACAAACGGGAATATCCACTGAACCCCAGGGAGAAATGAGAATGAGCATTTAAAAAAAAAAAAAAAGGTTCACATAAGAGATCATTTTATCATAACAGCATTGAAACTTTAATCTCTTATTTTTCCCATTTGACTTCTTAAAAAGGGTGGCATGGTCAAGAATTCTCTTTGATATGGTTTCATAATTGTATTCACTTTCTCTCCATCCTGAGACTTTTCCATAAGAATATTCACCTTGATCCGACTTCTACTGCATGGCTGGAAAAGAGGATACGCAATAACTCTTTCCAACTCCTTTATCTCTTTCTTTACTCTCTCATGCTTCTCATATGTAGGTGGTTGGCTCTGGCTTCTTCTCAAGATTCTTTCCCTGAGTCTTTGCTCTGTAAGTGCTCTCCCTCGAATCATGCGTTCCTGGTGATCCTTAATTTGCATCTGTTCCCTCTCATTTACCTGCTTTCTTCTCTGTGCATTCCAGATGCCATGCCCTTCTGGCATAATTTTTGGTAATTTTGTTTCACTGGGGAGTTGTAGTACTTGTCTAAATGATTTGTTCTTAGATTTTCTAGCCTGTCCTGTATAATTTATGTGCCTTTCTATGTGTTTCATCTCTCTCTCAGGTACCAAATAGCACTGTTTTAGTCCTTCTGTGCTTTGGGTTGTTTTCCCTTTCATTTTTTTCTTGATTTCAGTGCCGGTCTCTTCTTTCATCATTTCCAGTAGTATTCTTTTATGATAAAAAGATTCTGCTTTGGCAAGCCAGTAGTCAAGAGAAAGAGCTTGCTCTTTACAGAGTATTTCATACTCATCTTGATATTTCTGAGTTATCAACTGTCTTGCTGCTGTTGTATGCACACCACCCAGATTCTGTCAAAGTGAAGTCAGGAATTTATAATGTGATCATCTTTTTCCTTTGAGAACACATTTAAACAAGATCCAAGCCCACCCTCCCTACTGACATCAGGAAAAGCTAGATGTTCTTTTATTTACTTTAGCCTAATAACTATTATTTTTATTCCCATCACTCTCAGGTGAGCCTGTGAGCTCTGAAAGTATGAAGTATTCACTACCACAAATCAGTAACTAGTTTTAAAAATGCATGGTGTTGGAAGTTTTCAAAATGATTCTTTATTTCGCAACTGTGGCTATAGCTGGGAAACATTTGCCAGTGTAGACATACTACCGGAATGTGTCACTTGGGCAGAAGGATTTAAACCTAAGATTCCTTCTCTGTGTAGTTCTAAACTGTATGATATGAAGACAGTTTACTTACCGAGATCATTTTCTCCAGTGGAGACTGCTGACCTGCAGCAATCCTAGGATCTTTAGAAGAAGTAGCCCAGTCCAATCTGGAAGTTAAAAAAAACAAAGGTAAATTAAAATGTAGGAGGTATCAGAACAAAGCTGCTAATAGGCAGGACTATAGCAGGGTCATTTCCCCCATGGGAAACCAGTGCATTCCTGTGGTGGAAAATAATGAATGCTCTTCTAATAAGAGGATCTTTCCTTTCATATGAACAAGGATACTTCTCCTGTGGACTCAGCGTGAACCACTGTGAATCCTGTATTGGGGATTGTGAGTGGGAAGAGACATGCTCCTTGGTGAGGTGTTGTCCAAGTATATCTGTGTCAGACTGCTCAGTCATCAAGCCTCCTCTGTGTTCTGAGATGATTCTAGGTGCTAGTTTTTTAGATGATTCTAGGTTTCTAGTTTTCTCTTTCTGTAGTTTCATGATCTGAGCCCTCTCTGCCTCTATCAGCAAGTACAGCATTTCTGCTCTCCAATCTTTTGTTCTGAAATTCTGCCTTTTTTGTTTTTTGTTTTTTGTTTTTTTGAGACAGTCTCGCTCTGTTGCCCAGGCTGGAGTGCAGTGGCGCCATCTTGGCTCATGGCAACCTCCACCTCCCAGGTTCAAGAAATTCTCCTGCCTCAACCTCCTGGGATTACAGGTGTGCGCCACCATACCCAGCTAATTTTTTTTGTATTTTAGTAGAGATGGGGTTTCACCATGTTGCCCAGGGTAGTCTCTAACTCCTGAGCTCAGGCAATCCACCTGCCTCAGTCTCCCAACATGCTAGGATTACAGGACGTGAGCCACTGTGCCTGGCCTGAAATTCTGTTATTTAATTGCTCGGCCCTCTGCTTGCCTGCCTTCCAATGCCAATCATCCTTTACCCTAAATCCATCATAAAACTGTTCCCTGTTGGACTCCTCAGGATGGGAATCTGTGGTTACTCTGGGTTTATTTGTAGAGGAGGCTGATAGCAACACAAATGAAAACTATCAACTTTTATGTGTCATCCCTGGTCTAACCTGAGCTTACTGTGAGGTCATATTTAAGTCACTGAGGATGTCTGACATTTCCTCCCTGTGCCTTTTATACCATTTACAGTTCAAAGGATGGGCTTTAGAGTCTGACAGGGCTAGATCTGAACCCTAATTCCACCACTTCCTAGGTGTGGGACTCGGGGTAAGTAAATTCTGTCAGCTTTCTCATCTATAAAACGGAGATGTAAGACAAAAATCTCCTGTCAGGGTTATAAAGAACAAATATGAATTCAATGTAAAGAGCTTGATAAGTTCTCAATAAATTCTGTCTATCTGTCCTTCACAGGTCAAGCTCCTGACTATAAAGTCTTTCTGGTCTACTCCGTCACAGTGAGTCTCCCTTCCTCTAAACACTTGATATATTTTATTTCTACAACTCATTTGAAAATTAACCATGACTTACACTGTGATATCTGTATTCATATATCGCTTTTAACATTTTGATGCTGAAATTTCGGCTCATAAGGAGTGAAAACTGTAATTTGTATCTACAATTATGATGCCTCTACATTATTGGAAAGGACCTGATATCAAATATTTGGTCTCACTGACCTCTTAGGAACATTCTTATTTGCCTATGTAAGCTTATTTTAAGATTTTAAAAGTATGATCGTCATTTACTTCTCTGTACATGGCTTCTAGCACAGTACTTAACATTAAAGTCTGTGATCCCAAGTTCTCAAAATTAATGATTTGTTGATTGCTGATGATCCTTGACACATAATATCTGAACATCTTTTTAAATATTTGTCATAACATTGTATCTATCTTTTTATTAAATCATTTCCCAGTCCTCCTTGAAGTTTACAGACATGTTTTCTTTATATGCATGTTCTGGGCTCTCACATTTTGTACCTACTAGCATACTTTTATTGTATTCTAATTACTCATTCATGTTCATTGATGTCAGAGAACACAGATTTCAACTTTGCAGCCTCAGCTCAAAACCTGGAATAGTTGCTCAATAAATACTTTATTGAATAGATTGTGAGCTTTTGTTGGAAAAAGGACATGCCTTTTAATGCTGTGTTCCTTTACTGAAATTCACAGGGGATGTTGGCTGTTTTTCAAATTAAAAAGAGAAAACTGAGAAGGGCAGAAGGCTAATTTCAAGTTCCATTGTCAAAGGAGGCAGACACACAGATAAGTGAGAATAAAAACTGCCTATGACAATCAGCTCAACAACACATCTCCCTTTGTAAGACAGACAAAATACCAAGCAATTTCACAGTTAAGTGATAGGTCTTGTCACTCTTCAGCAGTTTGTTGAGTTTTAACCCTTTCACTATTGTGTTCTCTCCATTATTACAGAGAAAGGCAGATGGGAGCCTCTTCCAGCGAAAGACTACAGCTTTCTGTCCTTCACAGGAGAAAATAGCGGTGGCTCCAGAACTTGTATATGAAAGAACTTAGCACTGCTATCAGAGTGGGTGATGATGGGAGGCCTAGAAGGAAACTAGGAAACAACTACAAGCTGCCCCTTCAGGGAAAGTTTCTACTTAGAATATAAGTTAAAGATTAATGAAAATAGCAACATTTTCCAAAGACACATTCTCATGTTTTATAAAAGATCAGGGAAATGTCAGCTGTCCACTTAACGGATGACAATAATGATTTAAGAGTTCGACAGGTGGCAGGCACAACTAAAAGCCAAACTCGACGTAAGTCTTATGAAATCCTATTTAATGAGCTCCCTGGACTACTGCTAGCCTCACTTATCCAGCAGGAGTCCAAGGAGGGGAAGTCCCAAGCTTTTCTGTTCCACCACCTCCAAAGTCCTGAGCCCCTTCTCAGTGTCCCACTTCATCCCTGCTTCCTTTCATCCACTGGGACTACACCCCATAGGGGCCAAGGCAGGAGTCAGAAGCTTCAGCCTATTTCCATACAAATAATAAAGAAGAAAATAACTAGAGATATAACCACAGTAATTATTTATAGGTGACCTTAGTTATTCTTAGGTAAGCTTAATTATTCACAGGTGATCTTATTCATAGGCGATCTTAATTCTTTTACTAATGCCTCTCAGGTCTCAGGCCGGAAAGGGAGAACCTGGGGTGACACTTGTGAAGGAAATGACCCTAAGGCAAGATGCTCTGCAGCCCCGCTACACCCGCTTAAGGGCTACTAGGGCCGCCTCGGTTGTGCTACAGCGTCGGTACTGAGAAAATGCCCGCTGTTTAGCCAGCTAGGGAAGGTGGCATCCAAAGATGGCTAAGACGTCTCATTCCCCGGAGGAGTTAAGAGAAAACTCCGCTCCTCCAAGCTCTTGTGGTAGGCCTGGACAGCTGTCAGGTAGACCCACAGACAACCGGGGGCTTATCTGTCACTATGTGATGCTGTGCTTCAGCGGTCACATTCCATGTCCACTTTCATGTTCTACTTCTGCACCAGGTTCCTATTTTCTTAAAAGAGATAATCAGTGGCCGGGCGCGGTGGCTCACGCCTGTAATCCCAGCGCTTTGGGAGGCCGAGGCGGGTGGGTCACGAGGTCAAGAGATCGAGACCATCCCGGCCAACATGGTGAAACCCCATCTCTACTAAAAAAATACAAAAATTAGCTGGGCGTGATGGCGCGCGCCTGTAGTCCCAGTTATTTGGGAGCCTGAGGCAGGAGAATTGTTTGAACCTGGGAGGCAGAGGTTGCAGTGAGCTGAGATCGCGCCACTGCACTCCAGCCTGGCGCCTGGCGACAAAGCGAGACTCTGTCTCAGAAAAAAAAAAAAGAAGAAGAAGAGATAATCAGTAAGAGTAACATAAATCTTGGCCGGGCGTGGTGGCTCACGCCTGTAATCCAAGCACTTTGGAGGCCAAAGCGGGCGGATCACCTGAGGTCGGGAGTTCAAGACCAGCCTGACCAACATGGTGAAACGCCGTCTTTAAAAAAAGAAAGAAAAAAAAAAAGTAATATAAATCTTAATGTCTGTTCTTTCTTAACAAGTATGGAAAAGTGCTGACGCATTAGGCTCCTTGCCTCATCTCGGCTCCTAGAAATTTCTGGGTCCCTACCTGTATGATATGTGATGTACTTCACCCTATCACTGCCATGCCCCATCTACCCTTCCCCCGGTGGCTGACCACCAACCACCAATGCCACACCTACTTACCATGCCCCCAGCTTTGTACTCAACAAAAGTCAGAATGTGCAGACACGGACGGGGCCACTGCCAGACTCCGCGATCTGGACTGGCAGTGAACCGCCCACCCCCCCACCACCCGCCCCCCGCCACCCCGCCCAAACTTTCTGTGTCTTGTGTCTTTTATTTCTGGTTTCTTGTCTCCACACCAACAGAGAGGGGCTCATAGAACCCTGCAGGGCTGGACCCGATACCTCCTGACTCCACCCTCACCACTTGCTGTCCCTCAAGAATCCCACTTACCCCTTACAAGCGGCGATCTGTTCCCAAAGCACACGAGGCTGGCTGCGCTCTGCAGAAAGCCCACGCTCGCCGGCGGGACCCAAGGAACGCTAAAACTTTACGTCCCAGGACACTTAGTTTTCTATTTAACTACTCTGCAGCCGCAAAAGGGAAATACCGGCTCAGGATCAGGGTAGTTGTAGTTCTCTTATCCAAGGAAATCAGCATTTTGAAATATGATTTCCGGCAAAATACGGTTTTCAGGGGGATATCCCCAGGGACTCGGTTCCTGTAGGATGTGAGACAAATAATAAATATCCCAGGATTGGGTGCTGGTGGGAAAATTAGCTGGAAGCGCAGCATTGGCTACCAGTTTTGTGCTCAACGTCTCAGCACTAGGGTGAAAGTGGAGCCGCAAACTTCCTTTGAAGAGGTTAGGCTCCATCTCTAAGGCTCCCGAGACTAGGGTCGCAATTAATTATGACGTCACAACCAAGCGTCAGCCCGAAAGCGCGACGCTCTAGCCGGCTCTAGCTCGCTGCTCAGCCGCGGGCGCAGAGGTGCCGCTCTAGCCCACGGAGTTGGCCCGCTCCTCTCGCCGGCCCCAGGAAAGGGTTCCCAGTCCTTTAGTACCCGACGCTAGCTGGTAAGCCATTCCGGGCGTTTTGGCTCCCTGGTCGCAGAGGCAGGAGGCGTGCGTGGGAGGAGAGCTCGGGTTGTATACTCCCAGGCACTGGGACAGAATAGTTATGACCTCTGTGTTGGGGGGATTCCTCTGTCTTTTTGTTAATATAACGTTTTTTTTTTTTTTTTTTGAGACGGAGTTTTGCTCTTGTTACCCAGGCTGGAGTGCAATGGCGCGAACTCGGCTCACCGCAACCTCCGCCTCCTGGGTTCAGACAATTCTCCTGCCTCAGCCTCCTAAATAGCTGGGATTACAGGCACGTGCCACCATGCCCAGCTAATATTTTGCATTTTTAGTAGAGACGGGGTTTCACTATGTTGACCAGGATGGTCTCGATCTCTTAACCTCGTGATCCACCCGCCTCGGCCTCCCTAAGTGCTGGGATTACAGGCGTGAGCCACCGCGCCCGGCACTTGTTAATATAACTTCTAACTCCCTCCTCAGACCTGACCGCCTGTGCGTCATGGACCTCGCCAGCACTTGCTCCAGCTTCCAGTCGGACTTGGATTTCTGTTCGGAGTGCGGTTCGGTCCTGCCTCTGCCGGGGGCTCAGGACACGGTTACCTGTCCTCGCTGTGGCTTCAACATCAACGTGCGGGGTGAGAGGCTTGTACGCAGTGGTCCTGGCGGAGGGCCCAGGGTCGGAAACTTGGGGACCTCAAGATCGGTTGGGTTCGGGAGGGGACCCTAGAGCAGGAGATCAGACAATTGTACGTTTGGTCTGGTCTAGAGATGAAAAATGAAGGAAAGGATATAGGGCTTCCTGGCCTAACCAGCCAGGGGAGAGGGGAGGTTTCCGGTGTCAGCTCCCTCTGGTTGTCCCGTAACCAGTTCTTACTTCCCTGGGCAGACTTTGAGGGGAAGGTTGTGAAGACTTCAGTTGTGTTCCACCAGCTGGGGACAGCCATGCCTGTGTCGGTGGAGGAAGGGCCCGAGTTCCAGGGACCTGTGGTAAGTTAATAAGCTCAAGGACTGATTCCGTAAGGTGGGTAGGAAAGAAACGGAGGAGTGGTTGCAGAGATCTGTAGAGTTCTGTGCTCAAGGACTGGTTCCGTAAGGTGGGTAGGAAAGAAACGGAGGAGTGGTTGCAGAGATCTGTAGAGTTGTGTGCCCAAGTCCAAGAAAAGAGATGTAACGCATCGATGTTTGAGAGGAGTGATCGCCTGATTCCTGCGGGAAGTGAGGGGATATGACCAGGCCCTCCCTAACCCACCAGTTTCTTCCCAGGTTGACAGGCGCTGCTCTCGATGTGGTCATGAAGGAATGGCATACCACACCAGACAGATGCGTTCAGCAGATGAAGGGCAAACTGTCTTCTACACCTGTACCAACTGCAAGTGAGCATCCCTTCCCCTCTGCTCAGTCTGTTTGCTAACTTAACAAATCCAGTGATTCTGTTGTTGTTCTAAACCACTGTTTCCTTTTGTCCCATTTCTGTGCAGTTCTGGTAATGCGGAGATTTGTGGGTTTTTTTTATTTCTTAAATGATACTTTTTTAACTTTTTTTTTTTTTTAGTAGAGATGGGGTTTCTCTATGTTTCCCAGGCTGGTCTTGAACTCCTGAGCTCCAAGTGATCCACCCACCTCAGCCTCCCAAAGGGCTGGGATTACAGGCATGAGCTACCTCGCCTGACCTACTTCTAGGATATATAAAAGGAAATGAAAAAACAAACAAACAAAAAACATAAGAAGCAGGTATTGCTTAGTGGTCAGCATCTTATACTGCAGTCTTCAACTGCAGTCAAGGTAGCTTTACATTGGAGAGAATTAGTCACGCATGATTTAGGGAACATGGGCTTTCTAAATTATTTTAAAACGTCATCTTTGTCTTTGGTGTCCGTCAGTCACTGTAGTATATCAAAATGTGATTTTTTTTTAATTCTGTTTGGGATTTGTTGCACTTTTCTGAAACTGAGAATGAATTTGTTTTTTTTTTGTCGGCCTTGGAAAATTGTCAGCCATCATCTCATTTAATATTGCCTTTCCTTCATGTTCTCAGTCCTCACATTCTGGACCTCTTATTAGTTACTAGAAGAGAGGTGTCTCTTTTGTCCTCCATTTCTCTCACCCTCTTTTTGTATTTTCGATCGCTTTTCTCTTTATAGCCACCTTCTGGGTAATTTCTTCAGGTCCCTCTTCCATGTCACTAATTCTGTCTTCAGTTTATTTCAAATATTATTTTTTATTATTGTTATTTGAGTTCTATTTAATAACTTTTCAAATCTCAATTTTTAAATCTCAGTTCCTTAATCATATTTTAAATTGTTCTTTTATTATTCTTTGTATGTTTAAAATATTAAATATGGTTATAATATTCTATGTCTCATAATTCTGATATCCATAGGATTTTGTCTTCTGATGCTGCTGTCTTTTGTTTCTGCTGTCTCTCTCATGGTGCCTTTTTTCTCTGTTTTGTGATTTTGTCTATAAATTTGAGTTTTTTAGAACCTGAACTGTAGGAATTCTTTGAGACCTTGAGTGAGTGCTGTATTCTCAGCATTTGCATTTCTTTTCCTTGAAGCACTATCAAGCTGGAATTACTTTAAATAAATTCTTGGCTTCATGTTTTCTGGAGCAGACAGATAGTATGAATTTGAGCTGCAAATCCATGTAAGGGTCAGCTTATAGTCAGAAATTCTCAGGAGAGAGTTTTCTCTCCTTCTGCTCACTGAGACAAATTCCCCTTCTATAGAGTTGAATTTTTTTTCTTTTCTTGTTCACTTTTACAAAAAAGGGCAGCTCTTTGCAGTTCCCAAATTTATGCAGGGACTCTCCTATCAGACCTTATACATTTGGTCCCTCATTTCCTATGCTTTCAGTGACCGTCATAACAGTATTAGGGGAACCATAGTGTCACGTTTCATTGGGACTTCACTTTTCACTGGATTTCTGGTTTTGCATAACTTTTACCAGTGTGAAGTTTGCCTTTACTTTCTCGCCATCTCATCAATGAGTTAAAAATATTCATAGTCAGATATATCTTGTAAGAGTATTTTTTCCTATCACTGGTTGTCATTTTACCAAAAAAAAAAAGATTTTTTTTCCCCCAGACTGTGGCTTGCCTATTTATTTTCTTAACCCTCTTTAAATGAGCAGAAGTTTTAAGTTTTTATGAGGTCCAGCTTATCCTTTTTTAAAAATCTTTTACAGGTAGTGCTTTTTGTGTCCTAAGAAACCTTTGCTTTGAGGTTATAATTCATTGGATATATTTTTAATCCCAGCATTTTTAGTTGCCTTGGAATTGGAATTGGAGAATTATTTAAGGGAGCTAGTCCTCAATGATGTCGTAAATAAAAGTCCTTCCTTGATTATTTAATTGCATATCTTATCTTATACCACGAGAAACTCTTCTTTGGGTGAATATAACAAGTCCTTTCTTTCCTCATAGGTTCCAGGAGAAGGAAGACTCTTGACCTTTTTTCTGGGCAACTCAACACTCCCTCCTTCCTTTTGGAAAGTGAAGGATGCTGGGTTCCTCGATGCCTTGTCCATTCCGTCTGGTTGCAAAGTTTTGCTCCCAGAAGAGAATCAGATCATCATGTGCAGGATTATCATTGATTCCCAGAGTACTCTTAGCTTTAGTTGAATTTCCTTATTAAAGTTATGTTTTTCCATAAGACCCTGACATATGTATGTTAACTTATAATCTACCTTATTTCAAAAGGAAATTTAAATGAGTTTACAGAGATACACGAAAACGAAAAGGGGGAAAAATAAGGACAAAAATGTAGAGTCAGAAATGAGGCTAATGTAAACAAAAAGCAATTATAAGTATTGCCACTCTACTTAAGTCTATTTGGTTCCTGAATTTAAGGGTAAGAAAAACTAGGAATTTGGATATTGAGACATTTCACAGAAATTTTAACCGGATCTCTTCAGCATATAAATCTGGACAACAAAAATTCTGATACTACGTAATACCACTAAGTGATCACTACAGGTGGATATTTTATTACTATTGAGATAAATACAATATACAGTTGACTCTTGAACAACACGGTTTGAACTGCTTTAGTCTACTTATGTGGATTTTCTTCCACCTCTGATACCCGTAAGATAGCAGCACATTTAAGCCCTCCTTTTCCTCCTCCTCAGCCTACTCAACATGAAAATGTGATCCACTGCTACTTAGTGAATAGTAAATATATTTTCCTTTCCTTATGATTTTCTTAATAATGTTTTCTCTAGCCTACTTGGTTGTAAGATTGCAGTACATAATGCATATACAAAACGTGTTAATCAACTGTTTATGTTATTGGTAAGGCATCCAGTCAACAGTAGTTAAGTTTTGGGCAAGTCAAAGTTATATATGGATTTTCAGCTGTTCAAACGGTGAGCACCCCTTATTCCCCACGTTGTTCAAGGATCAACTGTATATTATAATAGATTCTTATATAGTAAGATAGAAAAAGTAAAGTCACAAGGAATCCTACTCCACAGAGATAACCAAATTATACGGTGTATCTGTGCTTGTGTGTATATATGTGGCTCTATGTATGTGTGGTGCTATATATGTGTTTGGTTTTTCTTAATGGACTATACTAGATATGCTGAACTGTCTTGCTGTTTTCTGTTTGGACCAAAAACTTTCAAGGGGAGCAAATACATACTCAGGTTCTGCATTGTTGGGCTTAAATGGCGACCAAGGGGTTACAGTAATAATTATCACATAATTGTGTGGCCCTTTTTTTATATATTCAGAGCTCTCAAACATAGCTATCTTGTGTGACAGCAACCTGGAGAATGGGCAGGGCAATCTTTCCCACTGTACATTTGAACTGTTGCAGCAGTTGACTTTCCTGACCCACTCCTGAAATATGAAACAAACCTATTCATGTTTCTACTCTACTTTAAGCCTTTCTCTGGCCCATAACACTGACTGGATTAAGCCCAAGTTTCTTAGCAAAGCATTCAGGTCCTTGCATATAACCACTGCTTACCTGTCAAGCCTCATCTGGCACTCCCTCAGATCCAAGCAGTACAAAACTCCATTTCCTGTAGTGCACACATCTACAACTTTGTAAGCTCCTCTCTAAAACCTACTTGTCTGCCTTCCTGGTTCTTGTTTTACCACTTTCTTTTGCCCTCTTAAGAAATGTGCATATATCTTTATAAAATGGCCTATACTGTAATTTATGACCATTTCTCTGCTTCATCCTACTCATCACCCCAGAGAGAATGAGTATGTTGGCAGTAACTAAATTCAGATTTACAGATCAGACATGGCATTTGTTAATGCCCCTATACTTCATATTTTTGTCAGTTTTCAGCTTGCCTATCTTTCCTACTAGACTGGGAGCTAAAAGTCAGGCTCTAAGCGTCTTACGCGCCTCCATCTTCAAGGCGCAGCACAGCGACTGGAAAAAACAAAAACAAAAAAAAAACCCACGTTGAACGTGCACTTAACTGCCCTGCTCAAACACCTACAGGCACAGGGCGAGGGCTAGGACCCACATCGCTTGAGTCTTAAATGTGCTTCCAACTGCTCCCAAGTTCCCTTTTCATTAGAGAAACCCAGACGAAACAAGGAAAGAGAAATAGGCCACGATAGGCTCTATACTGCTCCTCAAGTTTCTCGCCCGTCCACCCACCCAGGCAGGATAAATGGACTGCGGCAGGACTCAGCTTATGCACACACACCCCGCCCTCGCCACACCCACTATGCAGCTTCGGGCCCGGCCGTACCCATCTGGGCGCCTCTCCTGCTTCCTCTAGGCTGTGCGAGCCCGAGAGGCCCGTGACTCTCGCCCCGCCTCCCATACCCGCAGTGATACCCCTTCCGCCAAATTTGTTTCTCTTTCTTGCGGCGCCTGCGCGCTGGCACGTTACGGCGGAACTAATCCAGCGACGCCTGCGCTTTGACGCATTTGGTGCCGGGGAAGGGAAAAAGGAGGACCGCAGAATGCGTCACACCCGGAAGCAGAGAGCCGGAAGTGGAGTTGGCCAGGTTATCCCGAGGGGTGGAGAAGCAGAGGCCCAGGAGGAGGGGGGATAAAAGAAGGTGGAGGATCCTGACTACCAGTCCGAATCCGATACTGCTTCTCTTAGACCTCAGAGACAGAAAAAGGGAAGGGTGTCTCATCCGCCTTCCTCCTCTCGTCCCTCTCGTGAGCCTTAGCCATGGCCGAGGCAGGGGCTGGGCTGAGCGAGACCGTCACTGAGACAACGGTTACCGTGACAACCGAGCCCGTGAGAAAGGCGGGGGGCGGTGCTGTTTAGGGGTCTGGGAGATACTGGGAGGGAGGGGACAGGGATGAGAAGAGTTGCTGGAGGAGCTGGGCCTGGGGATATGGGAGGTGTGGGGTTGGATATCTGGGGCTGGGAGAATCGGAAGGTATTGGAGCTCTTTGGAGTGGCAGAGGTGGTGCAGGAGGCTGGTCAAGAGACATGTAATTGGGAGGTACAGTTAGGATATGGATGTACGCTGCTTGGGGTGGTTATGTGTGTAAGTAATGAACGAATGGGAAATTGAGGGTTAAGGAGCCAGGAAGATGTTGGGAGGAAATCAAAGGTAGTGTAAGATAACATGGTTGGAGGCCAACTTATGAATACTTATCATAAATGTTTGTTGAATGGATGAATGTAAAAGGAAGTACAGGAATGAGGAAACAGGAAAAGGAGATGAAAACAGGAATTTTGAGAAATCGGAGAGCAAAGATGTAAATGGAGAAACAAGAAATATTTTTCCAAAAACATGTTAAGTTGCCTTCAAAGGGAGAAGGTTGCATTGGGCTTAATACTCTTGGATTAAAGGGAGTTTATTAATTAATAGATTAGTAATACTCACTACTAGAGATGCCAGGATGCAAGGGAATAGGTGGATAAGAGGTAGAGAGGGCTGGAGCTTGAGAATAAGAGTCTTTTTTTTTTTTTTTTTTTTTTTAATGGGAAAAAGAATACAGGATCTGGAAAAAGGAAAGGAAATCAAAGATTAGGTACTGGGGACTGAAAAATAATTTTCATGTATTAATACTACCAAGGATGATTTGGGGAGGAAGACAGAGAAACAGCAAGGATTATATTTTCCTTTGAAGGGCTGCTGGGACCTTCCCTAGGTTAGGAATTGAATTCTCTTATACTGGTGGTATAAGAACAGGAAATAATACTTATTCCTCAAGGGACTCCCTGAGGTAAAAGACCTGTTCTGCTTTATCTTGTCTCAGCTCCTCTGGTGCTATGTCTGTGGTACTGATTGAACTAAAGAAGAAAAGAGAATAGGTTCCCTGGGTGGGAGTGGGAAAGGTCAGTAGGTAGGAACTAGATAGGTATGCCCATCCTTAACCTTCTAGGAGAACCGGAGCCTTACCATCAAACTTCGGAAACGGAAGCCAGAGAAAAAGGTGGAATGGACAAGTGACACTGTGGACAATGAACACATGGGCCGCCGCTCATCAAAATGTGAGTAATTGTGGGCCCACGGTAGCCCTGGAGTTCTGGCTCCCTTCGGCATATCTTGTATCTACGCATATCCACTGGCTTTCCAGAAGCCCCCAGATGCTTATAATTCTGTCACTTTTTTGGTGGTTCTCTGGTATCAGGGAAAGAGGTTAAGGGTTGAGGGAAAGAGGTAGGGAAGGGCTAGAATTGGAATTGCCTAGGTCTGCCGGCAAGAAGTATCAGAGGTGGCAGAAGTGGGGCTTTGATTTCTTGGTTCTCTAAGAGGGCAAGTGGGCTGGGGCCTGAGTCCCAAGGGTGGGCCTGGGGGAGCTGGATCCTGGAAGGTAGGAGGAAATAGAAATTTTCACTGACATTGAGTGGAAATGGAACTGATTATACATCTTGCCCTTCCTCTTTAACTGGGCTCCTCCCTCTAAATCCAGGCTGCTGTATTTATGAGAAACCTCGGGCCTTTGGTGAGAGCTCCACGGAAAGTGATGAGGAGGAAGAAGAGGGCTGTGGTCATACACACTGTGTACGTGGCCACCGCAAAGGACGGCGTCGTGCGTCCCTGGGACCGACCCCCACCACCCCTCCCCAGCCTCCTGACCCTTCCCAGCCCCCACCAGGGCCAATGCAGCACTAAATTCCTCTCTCCCCCACCATTCCTGTGTCTGTCTGGCCCTGAATGTATCCATGTGGCTACTTCTCCAGCCCCTTCCTTCCCTCTCTTCTGCCTGATAGAGGGAAGAGGAAGAGAAGAGTGGACAGAGATCCTGGAATTCTGACTTGCTGCTATTCCAGAACCCAGGCTCCTGGGTTCCCCTAGTCCTCATTTTTCCTCCCAGTACTCACCCTTCTCTCTCGAGGGATCTAGGCACCCTGGTCCCAGTCTCTTCCTTTTGTTCTCACTGCCAAACTGCCTGTCCTGGGATCTAGTTATCCTGGCCCTGCACTCTCAACTTGAGTAGCGAACACTTAAATTGGGTTTTCAACAATCCCAGCTTTCACTGCCAGGGTCCCAGTCAGATTCCAGGAATTCGCACCCTAGCTATGCTTGCTAATCCTGGTTTAGAGCTATCCCACTGAAATATTTAATCCAATTCTTAGTTCTTGCCTGTGAGATATGAGGTCTTACAGGAGACCTCAGGGCTCCCAGCCCTTCTCCTTTTGCTAACCCTCCTCATGCCCTCAAGAGGAGTTAGAAGAGAGGTCCTTGCCATTCTCACCTCTAATGGAAAAATGGAA